CGATTGGTGAAAAGTGATATTGCATATTCACTTTTTAATCTTAATGTAATATTTTATCGCAACAGAAGTTAATTGAGACTAATTGTTTTGAAAATTACAGCTTGACGGAGTACCGTTTAGCTGTAATTGAATTTTAAAGCTGGCAGAAAAATTTTGTGAAAAAATTAAAAAAATAAATAATAGTTAAAAAAAAAACTAAAAAAACACGCTTTTATAAATAACCGAACTAAGAAGAAGAAAACATTTAATAATTACAAACAAAATTATTAAATTCAGAGCAATAGTATATACTAATTATAAACAAGATCACTAAATTCAGAGTTAAAAGCGTGGGGTGCATCTATAATTAATGTTACAATTATTGTCAGCAAATATTGATAAATTTAATTATAGAAAAAAACATGTACTTGGCGCGAGATACTACCGTGTCTTCGGATGCACCCCACGCTTTTAACTCTGAATTTAGTGATCGTGTTTATAATTATATACTATTGCTCTGAATTCAATAATTTTGTTTGCAATTATAAATTATTTTCTTCTTTTTAGTTCTGTTATTTATAAAAGAGTGTTTTATTAGGTTTTTTTTTTTTAAACTATTATTTATTTATACATATACGTATATATAGTTCATCCTATTGCAATGTTTTTTTTAACATGCGGAAAAATGATGAGCACGCGTTATCATTCATGATGTTCATGATTGTTAACCTAAAATTCTGTAAGACTTCCATTAAAAGGTAACCTTTTTTAATTTTGGAGACAAATACGTTTGACGTCTTATATCTTAAGCACGGTGTTCGAGGCATCGGAAGAATCCAATAAAAGAGAAAGGGTTAATTTTTTTTCCATGTAGTTAAAAATCATCTGCACAACCCACCTTTGCGAATACGTTGGGGTCAAGAACGGGATAGATCTGGTCGAGCGTATTTATATTACTAGATAGAAATGTTTAGTATACGAAAAATAAGGGTCATCTAAATAACACTAAGTTCGGCTCTCGGAAATTTGAAAACCGTTGCAGTTTAAAATTGGATTATAAGGAATGGCTTAGTTGTATTTTTTTACGAGTGAGAATAGAAAGAATACTAATTGCACAGTATCAGCTTAAAAACTATTTTACGTAGAAACGAACAGTCGGATAAGAGTAGATAGAGAATATGTTTACTTTAAAGGGTCGGAAATTACTCTTTAAATCCGTTGAAAACTTCTGCCTAAAATTATAATGCAGCGTATAAAAAACAAAATTTACTTCGGTAATTTAATGCTCACTTACTGGAATGACCTTGAGGAATATTAAAAAAAAATACACGTTCAGCTTTTAATATTTGCCAGTTAGTAGTTTATTAGCCCATAAGTTATGGTAGCTTATACGCCAACCTCGTCGTCGGTGTTGCTTATGGTCCATGTCATTGGTTCCCATTTAATGATGTTTTAAAATCCGAAAAAGTTGTGTATTTTAAAGTGATCAAGTTTTGAATTATGTCGGAACCCTTGCAACGTCATATTTCTCTATGAAATTAGGCGTTATGGTGCCTTTTCTGAAGACAGTTGACTTTAGAGACCCTGATATGCAGAGCAGTGCCTGCTGCTGAGTTCTTTCCAAAATATTTAAAAAGTGCATATACATATTTTATATTATACTAGCGGCCCCTCCCGGCTTCGCACGGGCATTAAACATTACATTTAGATTTGTCAATTTTAACACATTCATACCTTGCCACGTTTCTCTGTGGCATATTATGGTTAAGAGGGCACTTCTGAATACATCAAGGTTCCGGCAAAATCATCTTCCTGGCATAAGGTGAAGAAGGCAGTCAGAGTTGTCGCTGGCGGATTCAGGACTCTTTCTTGCACATTTCTTTCTGTGAAATAGACACGTTGACCATTCTCCAAATGGACTGCCAAGTGAACTAAAGCTGGATAGCGTTCATGAATGGGGAACGAACAAATTCTCCATGCAGCCTCGTTGCTGCTTATGTATCTTCCAGCCTGGTATTGAGATATTTCATCGACAACTCGTACTGCATTGCTGTCACCATTTTCTGCCTGAACACCAAAAACTGCCATATCGCTGCCTTTATTCACGTACTTGCAGATATATTTAATCGATTTCACGGAATTGCAATATTCTACGTTGATGTGCGCTTTGTATGATTTTGACAATAGTGGTGAGTATGGAACCACCCAACGATTGTCTACCTCAATATCACCAATTCTCATGTTTAAATTTGCCGAAGTCCCTCCATCTTCAGTTGACCGTCTCCTATACAGAGGATATCCATCGTCCCCTGTTACGGTGTTGGCTGTAAATGCTCGAGGATATCGCTTGGAACACTTCCCGTCTACCATGCATGATGAACATGGGTTGAGGGTACCACATGGGCCATGAATCATGTTCTTAATGACAACTTCATGCAAATCCGTATCAACCTCGGCCCATGGAATCTCAGCGCATATAACATCGTCGATTTCATCTGGAGTAATTTTATCATACAACCAAATCAGTATGTGCGCATGCGGCAATCCTCTCTTCTGCCATTCTACTGAATACATCCAGCACCGCACAGATCCAAAAACTCCATGTTTCACAATAAAATCCATCAGTGACTTAAGCTTTTGTCTGAAAACACGGGCTGTGATGTCATGCCTATCCCTATACGATTGTCCAGGAAATAACAGCTGTACTATCTCGTCCCAAGCTGGATTGCGTGTGAAGGTGATAAATAAGTCTGGACGGCCGTAGCAACGAACATATGCCATGGCATTTTGACCATATTCATGCATGTGGCGTGGACTACCTATGTATGAGGATGGCAAAATCGTGAGCTTTCCAACGTTGGTTGTATTACAGTCATTCATCACAGCATCCCGCAAATGGATATATTCCTCGGACCGAAGTTTCGTCTGATTCAATCGAAGAGGCCTGACAGTATATGCAGACCTGATGCATCCGGCCAATAACGACATTCGATTGAGCTGTAGTCAATAGTTGGATTATATCTGAATGCAAGACGATTGTATTGCAGGTTTTGATCTTCTGCAAGCTGTAAACGCGCTTCAGCTACCCTTGCCCTTTCGCGTTCATTATTTTGAGAGTGAATCAAATCGATTCTTCGTTGTGCATCTGCATTGCCTCTCAGTCTCTCGGATGCGGGCCCGTTCTTCGTCAGTCATATTCGTAAACTTACGTCTTTTTGCTTCTGTATTGCGAGTACGACGACCCAAACTCGACTTCTTGGGTGGCAAGACTTCGTTTCTTACTGAACCTGAACAAAAAAATAAAATTTTATCTCCAATTCCTTATTTCATTATGTTTTGAATGTTTGACAGGAAATGCTTTGATTCAGCTGGCTGCCTGTAGAGGGCGGTAGATGTAAGGTAGTTTTTTGAAATTTTGTAACACCTTGGATAACGTTATTGTAATTTTAGTAAGGATGCCTATTTTTTTTTAAATGAAATATAGCCTATGTCACTCAGGAATGATGTAGCTTTCCAAAAGTGAAAGAATTTTTAAATCTGCCAAGTACTTTCGGAGCCTATTCAATTCATACAAACAAACAAAAAATCAAACCTTTCCTCTTTATATAATAGTATAGATTATATTATATTATATTATATTATATTATATATTATTTATATAATATATTATAAGAGGTACACACTAATCGAAAAGCTATTCCAGTTCTAAATGTACATGTTAATTTTTTTCAGTCAGAAGCATGTATATCACATTCCAGTCACGCCGAAAGAATTCTTAATGTAGTAGGTAAAAGTCTATATTTTTGTAGTCTCTGTACTTAATTTCATGGTTTATATGGTCAAGTGGCATTTAATAATCATAAAACTAAGGTCGGAATAAAAATAATTTGGCAGAAAGCTGTTAAAAAAACATAGTTTTTGTAGCGTTGTGACAAAAAATATTATTACACATATATTTAATATATGTCTAAAATAGTGATTGATTGGGTGTGATTAAACAATTTTTTGCTAATTCACAAAGAAATGGCAAATCATTCGAAGCGATTGGTTTATTTCCTTATATTGCCCACACAGCTTGACGTCGTCAGTGTACATACATAAGTACTCCGGAATTTTTATACCCTTGCAGGGTATTATAATATCAGTCAGAAGTTTGCAACGCAGTAAAGGAGGCACCTCCGACTATATAAAGTATATATATTCTTGATCAGGATCAACAGCCGAGTCAATCTAGCCATGTCCGTCTGTCCGTCTGTCCGCCTGTCCTTCTGTCCGTCTGTCCGTCTGTCCGTTTCTACGCAAACTAGTCTCTCAGTTTTGAAGCTATCTGAATGAAACTTTGTAGTTAGCCTTCTATATACTCTCACTCGTATATATGTCGGAACGGGCCGGATCGGACGACTATATCATATAGCTGCCATAGGAATGATCGGAAAATTTTTACAAAAAAATTTTTAACTTTTTCATTTTTCAATAGAATTGGATCAAATTTGAGGTATAGCCATTTTACTATACTCTACAATTTTCTATAAAATTTTATGAAAATCGGACTACTATATCATATAGCTCCCATAGGAACGATCGAGAAATTAATACAATTAAATTTATAACCTTTTCAGTTTTCAACTGATTTTCATCAAATTTTAGGTATAGGCATTTTATATTAATCTTAAATTTTGTGTCAAATTTCATGAAAATCTGACTATTATATCGTATAGGTGCCATACAAACGATCGTTTGATGTAGAGGAAAAATGCAAATCTTTGAATGTAAAACTGCAAATATAATATGTATAGGTGAATACAATGAAAGCAGGTATTACTTCATTGTTTTTTAACACAAATATATATCATTTATATTGTATGGTTTTTTATTCATAGAAGTTCTATCTGCAAGGGTATATAAACTTCGGCGTGCCGAAGTTAGCTTCCTTTCTTGTTTAGTCTAAAACAACAAAAAGGACTCGTCAAAATGAAGTATTATTTGTTTCCTTAATGTAATTTAAATGACTTTTTTTTATTTATAGATATTGACAACAATGGATTTTTGGACCAAAATGATTTTCTTTGCATGGCAGTAAGAGCATGTGTTGTTGAAGGAAAAGGAGATTGCAGCACTTCTCGATTAGATGAATACAAAAAACTTATGAAAAATTTGTGGGAAGAAATTTCAGCCATTGCTGATGATGATAAGGTATTATAAAATATTTTATAATTCTTATTATTATATAATTTAAATTATTTTTAGCCACATTATCCCAATAGAATCGGTCTTATTTATTAATATTTAATTTTTTTTTTTAAGACTTGGTGCATTGTTAAAGTTTTAGTCATCACTCTTTATCAAAGCATTAAGTCTGACTTACAAAATATAATATCATTTAAATTACAATTATCATAATCCCTTTCATTTATACACTGCTCGTGCTCAACTTAAGACAATTTGCAATAGTTGATAATCAATACGTCACCCAACTTAGAGATTTACGCAGTTTTTTAGTATACAAACAGCTCGCTGGGACATCTATAGATAATATGTAAATGCGGACCTCGAAACGATTTATTGATCTACAATATCCTATTGAAATCGCTCTTAATCTTTCTTCTTTAAAGTGATTGGCTTTTTTTCTGGAGCACTCCTTTTGTTTTAAATTCTTCAGAAAATATTCATATTCTTTTTCGCATCTATTAAAGCTTTCGTTCACCTCGCATTTACATACAGTTATTTTAATTTTTAATTTACATCTTAGTTTGTGATGATAGTGTTTGTTCATGCTTATTTTGTTTTTTCTGGGAGGTAATCCTATGGAGGTACAAAATCAAACAATTTTTTATTGTTTTATTGGGCACTCTAAACACATGTAAACGCACTGAATTATTATTAATAGAAATTTCCAAATCCCCTGTTCGTTTTTCTAATTTTTTTTTTCACTCACAATTATCTATCTTATCTTGAAAGATTTAATGTTCCCAGGCATACAAAAAATTTAAATCTTCCCGGTAGCCCGAAATTTTATGGTTGACTTTGTAACTTTGTCGTTTTCAACACCATCCTGAATCGTGAGAAAGGATAGCTGCGATTTTTTCTACTTCTCCAGCTGGTAGACATGGCCCGACTTTTCTAAAGAGTCTATCACTTATTGAACCTTTTCAATGGTGAATACGTCTCCTTGTTTCTTGACCTATAGGACTAAGAGTTTTCTTGCTCATTGTCAAGTGTCTTTTTAGGACTGTAATTTTATCCGCCTGTTGCGGATATCACATATCCATTGCATCAAATTTGATCAAATTCTGTTGAAAACTGAAAATGTTATATTTTTGTAAAAATTTTCCGATCATTCCTATGGCAGCTATATAATATAGACGTTCGATCCGGCCCGTTCCGACATATATACGAGTGAGAGTATATAGAAGACTAACTGCAAAGTTTCATTCAGATAGCTTAAAACTGAGAGACTAGTTTGCGTAGAAACGGACAGACGGACATGGCTAGATCGACTCGGCTGTTGATCCTGATCAAGAACATATATATAGTCGGAGATGCCTCCTTCACTGCGTTCTAAACTTCTGATTGAAATTATAATACGCTACAAAGGTGCAGTAAGTGAGGAGTGATAATGTTTTCAAAAGTTTAGCGATGGCCGACAACTTAGAGATTCCTCTATAATTGCTGGCATCCAATTTGCTATCTTTTTTGCAATAATAAACGATTTCTTCCAAATAATGGGAAAGTGAGAGGTTTCTAAGGATAAGGTTAACAATTTCAGAAGGGGATAGCAAAGGGCGTCGGCACAATACCTGAGCACACAGCCAGGAATTCCGTCGGGACCTGGGGAATAAGCTGGCTTGACACGATGAAGACCTAAAAGAAGAGAGCTTTCGTTTAGGCTAGGACAGAAAATTAAGTTTGATTTACGTATGTCGTAGGAATAAGTCTGGTGTAAATACGAAGAGTTTGCATAAATTGTTTAAAAAAACTGCGAAATAGATCGGCTATTGCCTGATCATTATTTGCGGTAGTATTTTCAAATGAAAGCAAGGAAGGATTTGTTTAAGGCTTACGTTTAGTGTTAACAAAATTATAAAACTGTTTGAGTCTCGTGAGAACCGAGCCCTACAACGAGTTAAATAGTTTTTATAACACTGAGCATTCAGCACGGTAAAGTTTGACCGATCTGATAAATAAGATGAAAAGGCAGATGAGAACCGGTGAATTTAAATTTAGCATACAGTCTAGATTTTTTATTCTTAAGTCGGCTCAACACTTTAGTAAACTAAGGCGGTTTATTCGAGCTTGGCGGATAATATAACGGAACACATTCAGTAAAAAATTAATTCATGGCACTGTAAAAAATATCCACGGCAACTGATATGTCAGTGCACATGTATAGATCGGACCAATTGAACTCGTTTTTTAAATTATTCAGCCGTTCGAAGTCCGTCTTGTGAAAACATAGGACTTTATTGGCTGGACGGTCAGAAATTTTCTGTACGTCACACCTGATATCAAGAGTCACATCGAAAGTTGATAAGGATAAGGATCTTCGGGCTGCGCCAGAGGCGCCACCCTTGCTAAAGTGACTCTCGCAGGATCAGAGACGAAGCAAAGATCGAGCAAGCGCTGTAAGGAATTTCGAACATGGTTGACTTGAGACAGCGAAATGTCGAACAAGCCAGCGATAAGGTCATGTTGCGTAGGTACATGGAGAGTATTGGTGGAATTATTGTAACGAATCGCTAAACTCAAAACAAATGTCACAGGCAAGTTGTTAGCTCGAGATCGGAGCGCACGCAAGATATTTTTCCGGCTTCGGCTCGTCGGCTACGGGAGTGATGGTCTTGCTCAGATCTCGGGTTGCCTTTCCATAATTTTAAACAGAAATAACTGCGTGCTACAACAAGCTTAAACCGGGACGGAGATACAGACAACACATTAATAAAAGTTTAGGAAAATTTAACTCTCTTCGCCTTACTCCTCCTTTTTAGCACTCCTGGTGTTTTGGAGGCTCTAATTTGCCCACCCTTCCTATGGTCGCTCCCATCCTCAAAGCTATATAGCTTGAGCGACCCCTTCGACAAGTGCTACCCTACATCACAACGCATGCCAGCTGCGGCCAATACTCGACATTTTAAAACATTATAATAATTTTATTTAAAACTAGAAAAATATAAATTCATTACTTAAAATAAGAACCGTATATAGACAATTAAACATTAAAACTTAGAATACCAATGATAAATAAATATACGTCCTTCAACTCGACTTCGGGCAAAAATAAAAATAATGGCAAAACAATTTTGGGCAAGTTGGAGGAAATTATTATTCGCGCCGACTGAAGTTAAATTTACATGTTGCAACAACAAAATAATAATTGGAATTGGAGAAGCATAAAAGCTCTCAGCATAAATAGCCTCAAACGCAATCGCCTTATGTATCAGCGTTCCTCTTTTCTTTCCCTTTCCCTCTTCGTTTTCTGCCGTTGGTTCGGTTGAATTTCGATCTTTCTTTTATATTAACGGCTCATAATTTGGGACATTTTTTTTTCCATTTACTTCTTCCTTTTCTATTGTACTTGAAATTATTTAAATTATTACTTCGACACTCACCATTTTCTCAACTCCACCGATGAAAGCGCTTTCCTCGGAAGCTAGCTGAAAATTGGGATGAAAATGATACATGCAAAAAAGAAATTCACATCCCTAAAAGAGATTACGAAGGTGGTGCTCTTTACATATGCCTAAGTTCATTTCACATCATACTTTTTTCCTTGCAATTTTTCCGAAATTTAACCTAACTTAAAATTTATATTTTTTTCTTACGCTAATTTTCCATATTATCTTCACTGACACTGGAACAAAATGGGGGTCGAAAATTCCCTTTTCTTTATAATAGTTCGTCGCGATGAGGCATGGGGCTCGAATTAAATGTACTTTGGCCGGGATCGCATTGCGGCGGCGAGTTCAAAACGCCCGAAAGAATTACATAAAACTAATCGCAATGCTTTGCCGAAGCCTACGCCTACACCGACTCTGGCATAAAAGCTCGTACGACTGCTACCGAATTCTCTGCTTAGTTGTGCTCTCTAGAGCTGTTCACCAAGGGAACAAAGGTCGTTCGCATTCGGCAATTAATTATGCTTCAACCCCATAAAATTATATAAAAAGTAATATTTTCCCCCAGCTCTGGTGAGCGGGGCGACGGGGAAGTCCTCCTCCTAGAATTCAGATCCAGGCGTTTAAAAGAATCCAAGAAGCTGCGCCGGCGTCGTTTCGTTGCCTGCCCCTCACCTCTCCTCGGGCCTTCGAGCGGTACCAATGCAGCCTTTCTATTCGTGGCTCAGTGGCCAATAAGCAAAATTGTATTCTCAGCACTTTGAACACTCGCGATTACTTTTTCGAAATTTTGTCGCCAGTCGCCAAATACAGGAGTCACTACACTTCAGCAGCCAAAAATGGAATGCTGGAAGATGACGCCGGAAAAGTGGCGGTAACCCAATGTGAAAGTGGGGGAAACGGGGAGACCGTTGACAAATGCCTCTGTTGCTCTCACACCCGATCTGTCGTGCCCTAGCCGACCTACGCTTGCTACACTGGCAAAGCCGCCTTTCGACATATGATCGACTAACAGATGGCGCTAATAAAAGTATCTCATACCGAGCAAGCGCTACATTATTTGAGCACCAAATAGCACCAGGGATATTCAAATCTCCTAGGACTACTAACTGGTCTCTATCCATAAGTTTACTGGAAACCATCTGAATAGCGGAAAGGTGATTTCAATAAATAGGAAGTTCCGACAATGGAGGTATATAGGAACAGGTAATATAAATGGAGCTACCTTTGATAGATAGCTTTACACAGAGGAATTCAACATCTTTACATTCCTCGAAGGTTAATATTTCTGATGTGAGTGATGAGTCCACCGCTATAAGAAAACCACCCCCGCGTTCGATAGGGCGATCTAGCCGATATACTGTGAACACAGCTGGAAAAACTTCGGAGCTCAGAATCTCCGGCTTTAACCAGGTTTCTGTGAGCACAATAACCTGAGATGCAAACGAAAGGCTATCAGAATACAAGTTAGAAAGCTTACTACGTAAGCCTCTTGCATTCTGGTAGGAAATACCTAGGGAGTAGGTTAGTTTTTTTGGTCTGGATTGGAAGACGTAGAAGGCGCAGTGGTATATGTCAAAA